CACTATAAAATTAATAAAATTAATTAAATTAATTAGAATTAAATATAAAAATATAAAAATAATTTATTAATATTTACTGAAACTTCCAAAAGATATTTTGAGTTGAATGAATTGAATATTCATAATAAAGATCATGACTCAAATCATGCTGCATATTATTAGGTGTTTGTAATGTTATTTCAGATTTAGTTAAGTTAGGATTATTTAATTCATCAATAGTTATAGTGCAAATATGACAAGGACATTTGCATCGAGAAGAATTGTAAGTTAATGTTAATGCTGCATCCTCAGGTAGATCACTAATAAATTCAGAAAGAAACGGAAAAACCCAAATTATTTGATTATCAATAATAATATTTAAGCTGTTATTTTCTAATTTTTCATATATTAGTTACATCATAACATAAAAGCAATGTTGATACAATTTTCTCTTAACAGACGCAAAACTTTTTTTATTACCCTTATAATTGTGTAATGGCTTTAATTTTGGTAAAAATCTTAATAAAGCTTTAGCATCACATTTATTTCTACGCCAGTTTGAAATATTTCCTAATGATAAATAAACAGGATGTTCAGAGCTTTTCCCAAGATGATTTAATGTGATAGCATCAGAATATATAATAATTGATAGAACTTTTTTTAATCCTGTTCCAATTGATTCTTGAGCACGTTTCCACCATAATCCAGTCCATTGTTCTCCATATATACATTTATATTGCCTATCATCATTGGTAATATATTCTGCAGAAAATTCCCATTGATAATATTTTAATATATTAGCATTGGATAAAAGTTCTTTAATAGCATTAAAGATTGGTTGATGGTAAAGATAATATTCCTCACTCTCATATTCTAGAATCTTTGTTCTAAGGTATAATAAATGTTTGACATACATAGAATTAATAAACTCACGTCCTTATGTTGTATTTTTTGGTAAGATTATATCTTCTCGAAAATGATGCTTATTGAACCACTTCAAAACAGAATTTCCAGCTGAATTAGATAAATGATATTTTTATATAAGTTCCATAAATTCAGTATAAGCAGCATCTGGAAAGGATGGAAAGTTCTGATTTGAAGTAGATCTTGTATCTATCAAAGTTATTTGCTCAGTTTGCTCAGGAATATATAAGGTATAATTAGAAATGTGATCAAAATCAAAATTTTCAATTTCAGCATCAGATATGGATTCTATAGATTCTAACAAATTATTTACATCATCGTCATTACTATCTGAATCAGCATCACTGTCTTCTAGAATTATTTCCTTTATTAAAATAAAAAATAACATAATTAATATTTATTATTTTAAATAATTGTATCATATAACAGAATCAAAAATTAATCACGCTACCATCTCTTCAATTTGTTCAAATTTTTGAATATTATCATCATTTTCATTATTGTTATACATAATTGTATCATCTTTAGGATGTTCAATTATGTTTTCCAAATTCTCATCATGAG